AGGAAAGAATGGGAAGTGACTGCTACTGGGTATGGAGTTTCTTTTTTTGGGTGATAAATATATACTGAAATTGAGAAGAGCAGGTGGCATGGTGATTAAGGCACTGGACTCCTAAATAGTCAATCACGGTTTTAGTCTCACGCCCAGTGGCTTGAAACATGCTGGGCATGTGTGTGTGTGCCAAAAATTCCAAGAGGAGAATGAAGAAGGGAATGCGGCACAGCCATCCCATCCACTAGGAGGTGTCTGTCTGTCTGCTGAGGTGCACATGCCCTGTAGCAAAAATCTCTCTCTCAAAAAAAAAAAATTGATAATGACAGTTGCAAAACTCTATTAATACACTAAAACCCACTGAGTTGTACACTTCAAAATTTACATCTCTGGGGCCTGGCGGGTGGCATGGTGGTTAAGGTGCTGGACTCCCACATGGCTGGCCATGGTTTGAGTCCCAAACCCTGTGGCTCGCTTTCTCACTTTCCCTCTCTCTTTCTCTCTCTCTCTCTGGTCAAATTAAAAAATAATAATGATAAAAAATTCTTTAAAAGAATACATTTATATCTTAGAAAGCCATGATAACAAAAAATAATTCCTATGAGGACCAGCAGATGGCGTGGTGGTTAAGGTGCTGGACATTCCCATGTGGCAGACCATGGTTCAAGTCCAAGAACTGGTGGCTTGCTTTCTTACTTTCTCTCTCTCTTTTTCTGTGTGTGTTTGGTCAAATTAAAATAAATTAATGAATAAGTTAAAAATTAAATAGATAATTCTTTTAAAAAATAATAATAATTCCTAGAGACCAGCTTCATGGCACGGCAGTAATGTGCTGCTCAAGAGAAGATGGATTCCATGTGGTGACCACAGTTCAAAACTCCAGCCCAGTCAGTTTGAAACATGCAGAGCACATGTGTGAGTACCCAAGATCCAATGGTCTAGAAGACTGGAAGAAAGGATCATGGCATGACTAGACCCTGTGGAAGTTACTTACCTTTTTCTCTCTCTCATGTATACGTATGTGCTCCATCATAAATGAAGAAAAAAATTTTTAATTCCTAGAATCACTACTTCTACTCAGCAATGCACTCTTTTCTGTCCATAATATTAGTTAATAAAAGAAAACCACTTATACAAGCTTTTTATTTCTTTCAACTTTTTACATCTAAAAGACATGAAAAGAAAATACTTAATTTTCCAGTTGTACCCTCTCAATTTCCGCACCAACATTATCAACCTAATTTGTTTCCTTTCACAAACATATATGATCAAATTTTACATAAAGAGAGATGTTAGGAGTTACAAACACACACACATATACAGACATAAGTTGGGCAAAGGGAGTTAGTCTACATATGTTGTTCTGCAAAACAATACATGCATCCAGCCCAGTGTTGCTAGCACAGGTGGTAGTGTACTGAATTACAGTGCTGGAAGCTACATGGGCTAACAGCAGGTGCAGATCCTAAGTCAACCTAAAAACACGCCAGGTACATATAGGCCCAAGATCCTGACAAGCTGGAAGTCTTGGAGAAGGGATCACAGCACGACAAGACCTTGTCTAGGACGCCTATCCCTCC